TTATTTCAAGTACAAAATGGTGTCCCATTAAAAAAAAACAAAACAAACAAAAGGAACAAACAGCTAGTTCAGCTCACAACTCAAACACACAAGTGCTTTTCTTTTAAGAAAACCATCACACTTCACAGAATATTTAAAAAATGAATTCTCAAGGATTGAGAGGGAATAAAACTAATAATTTTTACTGCTTCAACAAAGACATTTTGAGGTTACATTGGCTGCAAGTCCATTCAGTTCAGTGCCAGCTGCCTGGACTCATGCTAAGGCACCGGCAATTTTACCAGCCCTCAGTGCAAATGTCAACCGTGAAAAAAAGCCAGTTATATCTTCGTAAGAGCTTTAAACCCATAGATCCCCTGAAGAGGGGATCCCGAGAGGTCCATGAAAGTAGACTCTGAGAACCACCTTACCGAGCTGAATCCCAGGGAATCAACATTCCACTTAAATATTAGCTATTTCAGCAGGAGTTAAGTACATTTCAAAATTACTCCACATATGATCCAAGTAAGACAGAGCATGGGGAAAGTGACAGGGTGTAGCCTACCATATTCAGTTTGATTGTTAATCCCAAGTCAGACATTAAAAAATATAAAGTCTAGGAAAATTTTTCCTACAGATCTGATTATTATAATATTTGGCAGAGGGAAATCTAATGCAAACCAGCTGCCGAAGTCTTGCTCTGAGCAGTTGGTGAGCACACATCGCCAAAAGGCCCCCTTTGGTGGGGGAGGCCAGATGAGCTCATGCAAAGGCGTTTTAGCAGCTTTTGCCCCATGAGTCTCATGAGCACCCCACCTCTCTGTTCCACACTGTACGGCAGTCACACTTTCTGCGGATCTTTTTTCTCTTCTCCTCCAAGAAAGCTTATTGGGAACGATGACAAAATGCACATCTTGCAAAATCAATAGCCCCTTTAAAACCAAAGTGTTCTTCTACTCCATTATGTATTTGGCTTTAATCTCAAGAGGTGTGTAGGATAAAAATAAAATAAATAAAAATCTTCTTCATTTACCAGTTTCATGTTTTACTTAACTCTTCACCAGTCTGAAATATCAGCTGTTAAGTAAACACACACACACACACACACACACACACACACACACACACACACCCCCCACCCACCCACCCCCCTTGGTTTCAAAGAATCTGTAAAGGTGCAAGCCAATATAAATGATAACTCATGTTAATTTACGTCACCCTAACAATGTTCTTTGATCTTTGACTCTCTACTCTTGTGGGTAATCAAGTTCCTTAATTTTTTTTTCCTTCCCTATGTGTTTATACTATTTTTTTGGTCTCATCCACTCATAAGAACATGTTCCAAATTATTAGGAATAGAATTAGTAAAAAGTGAACATTCAGCCCTTTCTCATTACTCACAATCAGAAACCCCACACTAAAAAGACATAAGCACATCACTTTCTGGCCTTGCCTTTCTTTGCAGTGTACCTCCTGGACTGGTTCCATCCTCTGGTCTTTCTCAGTCACTGGCCATACTCTACCCACTCTGGGAGCCAGAGGATGATTAGGTCCCACTGAACTCGATCACATGGTCACGTGGAAAAATAAACTTCTCACTGGCCCATTATCTTTGCTCCTAATCCACTGGTACTTCCTGAACAAGGAGTTATATTAATTAAACTTAGTAAGTAACATTCAGGGAACTACAGGCCCCACCCATTAAATTAATGGCCATGATAAATTTGCATGTCTTGTTTGATCCAAATAATACAGTTGAATTCCTTTTTAATATGAAACTTTCACTACTTGTAAAAACTGTTGTAGAACTAAGCTCCTCTTTTAACAATGGCCAAATTAAACCAATTATACTTTGTACATAGAATTCTTCATTGACATATTTTCACTTACTAATAAATTACTATAATTTAAGCAGTTAACAAAACAATGTGTCAGGTACCACTGCAGGCATTTCATAAGGACTAATTCATTTAATACTCACACCCACCCTATCTCATTAGGGTCCATTAGGGTTTCATCAACAAATGAAAAATTTGTAGCACAGAAAGGTCAAGTAACATGCTCCCAATTACCTACTAAAAGTGGCAGAATATGGAGTCAAACTCAAGTTTACTATGGATTGGTCTTAGTTCCTTCCAGTAGATCACATTGTTTTTCAAAATTATAATGTCTTTGAGATATAACTCACATGCTATATACTTCACCCATTTAAAGTGTACAGTTTAGTGGATTTTAGTATATTCAGAGCTACACAACCATCACCACATTTAATTTTAGCAGATTTTTATTACTCCCAAAAGAAATCCAATATTCATTAGCAGTCATTCCTTATTCCTCCCATTCCTCACTCCCCAACTCCTGTCAATGACTAATCTTTCTCTATAGATCTACCTATCCTGGACATTTTACACAAATGGAATCATATAATATGTGGTCTTGTGTGTCTAGCTCCTTTCACTTAGCATAATGTTTTCAAGGTTCATCCTTGTTGCAGAGTTTATAAAAATCTCATTCTATTGCTGAACAATATTCTATTGTATGGATATACCATATTTTGTTTCTCCATTCATTAGTTGGTAGACACATGGTGGTTTCTACTGTTTGGATTTTCTGAATAATGGTGTCATAAACATACATGTGTAAGTTTTTGGGTTGACATAAGTTTTCATTTCTCTTGTGTATACATAGGAGTGGAATTGCTGGGTCTTATGGTAACTTTATGTTTACCCTTTTGAGGAGCTGCCAGGCTGATTTCCACACAGACTACACTGTTTTACATTCCTACCAGCAGTGTATGAGGGTTCCATTTTCTCCACATCCTAGACTACACTTGCTATTTTCTGTCTTTTTAATTACAGACATACTACTGCAGAGGAAGTGTATATCGCACTGTGATTTGATTTCGATTTGCATTTCCCCAATGGCTAATCATGTTGAGCATCTTTTTATGTGCTTATTAGCTATTTATATATCTCCTTGGCACAAATGTCTATTTTAGATCTTTTCCCATTTTCTAATTGGGTAATTTATCTTTTTATTATTGAGCTGTAAGAGTTCTTTATATTTTCTAGACACAAGTCCCAGAGTAGATATATGATTTGCAAATATTTTCTCCCATTCTGTGGGTTGTCTCTTTATTCTTTCTCTCTCTCTCTCTTTTTTTTTGCTGTTCATTTTTTTGATGGTGACATTTGAAATACAAAAGTTTTTAATTTTGATGAAGTCCAATTAATTTATTTTTTTCTCTTGGTTTGTGCTTTTGGTGTCATATCTAAGAAAGCTCTGCCTAAGCCAAGGTCATAAAGATCTATGCCTATATAAAACTAAGAGTTTTATAGTTTTAACTCAAATCTTCTTTGTATCTTTTCTGTAGCTCCAAATGAGTGTCACATTATCTGATAGCACAACCACAACCACTCTATTTCCTTCTTTAGTAACTTAGTGCTTTGGTGGTCTAGGCCCCATCTGGTCTATGGGCAGAAATTATTGGTTCATAGGACTGTAATTTCTAGTATTAAACAAAAGCTTACCTATAGGATGTCACACTTTTCTGCTCCATCTCTCCAGTGACACACAGTTAAGGGAATGTCTAAGGATAAAACCTCCCTCCTTGCATTTCATGATCATAACTAGAGAATAAACTTTTTCCATGAAATTTAAACTTAAGGGATCTCTACAGCCATATTCCTAAACTCTCTTTTAAAAATATAAATTTAATCCCTTCACTTATAACTACTGAGACATGTCCACGTTTTCATGGGATTCCTGTCATGCTCCTCATGTAACCATGACAGAGAACCTATAACTTAATAGAATGTAACTCGACTAAGATTTATTGAGGGCCTATAATATGCAAAGCATTAAGGAAAGTGCTAAGATGAGTAAGTTGTAGTTCTTGACCTCAAGAAGGTTGTAATTTAGTGGGGATTAAAAAAACAAACACAGAGATACTGATAGTTAGGGTGAATCCTCCTGTAGAACCCTTACGTCCTGATTAATGAGGAATGAGGGCGCACCGCCAAATTCTGAGGCTCAGCAAATTCCTTACCTCTATTCTGTGATCTAGATGCTCCAGCTCTACATTAGGCGTTTCAGAGAAACTCTTGAAAAGCTATGTAAAACTTATATTTTTATTTAAAAAATGATATATGTAAGGGAACTTGGCAAGTAGGAGGAAATCCTATATAACAGGAAAGTCTTCCCGTAAAGAGTACTCTTCCTCACATGAATCTTTTTTGCTCAAAGCAGGAGCTGCCACCTCCCCACAACCTCTGTTCCCTGGGGACATACCATCTGGTTTCATCATTTAGCTTTCCTGAATACTTTCCTGTGGGGCTAATGTGTAGTTTTTTAGTTACATCAAAATGCCATTCTTTTTTAAGCCCAAATAAAATGGAATGTAAATATGTCTTCTAGTTTAACACTAGATACCTAGTTTCAAGTTGTCTCTGTTCTTTGGACTTCTAACTCTCCACATCTAGCATGCTAAAAACATCCTGTTGCTTCAGGTCAAATCAATGTTTATGTGATGGAATCAAAAGTATGTGCTCTTATGCCAAAAAGAGAAATTGAAGAACATTTTGGCTGAATTTTGTGGTTTATCCACAGTACCACATTCTGGTTTAAATGATTTCATCACTCAGTGAAAAGGCTACCACAATGTCAGTGGTTTTCTAGTCACAGTCAATAAAGTAAAAGAAAAAAAAAACACTATTTGCTTATCTTCATGACTAAGCAAGTCTTGAAGAGAACAGTTAGAAAGCTGCTTCAACCACTTAATAAATGCACACAAAAATACTAATGATAGAAACCATTTATTCTGAGCTAGGAGATGCAAAGCAATCAATAAGGCTGTGAAAGAAAAGTTTTTGTCTAAGTCAACTATATCAGCTATGTAAATCCTATTTTAGGCACTAAGATAATAGAATTCACTTCAAAATTCTTTTTTTTTTTTTCACTCTAACCCTCTTTAGAAGATTTAGAGTAGGATAAATATTTTACTTCCTTGTCTTTTGTCTTACCTTGTGGCAACAAGAGGGTAGCTGTGACATGGTGATGCCCAGGCGTCCCTTGTCCATGGCATACAGTCATACAGCAGCAAGTCCTTCTCAGTCACAGCCATGAGAACTGGTCTCCACTGTTGTCTTCCACCATCTAGTTTTGCCTGTTACAATGGTGAAATCCAGAAAGCAGAACTAACACTAATGATATATAATTGTAAAAGTCCCCTCAGTGATGGTCTAACACAGTGGGTCTCCATTGTTTCCCCATCCATATATTCTAAACATCAGTATTTTTCAAATTTTTTAATAAGAAATACATTTTGCATTGTAACCTAATACACACATATATAAATAAATTAAGTAAAAAATTTCCAAAAACAATACAATCCTTATATTTTATGCAGTGTATGCTGATAATTTCTATTCTAGTTTTTTTTAAACACTGATGATCCACTATGTTGCATTTTGGAAAATAATGATATAAGCTACTGTCAAAGACTTCCCCATTATACTTTGGAAGTTTATGCTTCAGTATCAAATGTACCATTGCATTTACTTGCATAAGGCTCAGTTATCTCTGTGAAGGTTTGAAAATGTAGGAAAACAATGACTGTTTATCCATATTGTCAAGGATCCGAGGCCCAAAAGCAAAAGACTATGTTCAAGAAAAGCCCTGGTATCATCAAAACACTTGCCCTCATGAGATAAGATCTTTGAGCAGACAATGCTTAACAACAGCGTATTTAAACACTGATCCTTCAGTTCACTGCCAGTAAGGGATGGTTTCAATGAGAATCCAAATTGATGAATCACTTGTCCCTTAAAGAGGTGTCTCAGAGCCACTTTTTATTTTTTCCTCCTTAATGACTTCTGAAGGTAATTTGAACATGTTAGACCATCTTAAGAATACATCCTATAATCTGACAAGTGGCATAACTGGCTCTGTTCTAACACCTACCACTGGGACTCTCTTCTCCCAGTTAGAGCCACCTGCTGATTCCAGGAGTGGAAAATGAATTCCACCCAATGAAGTGACCCTTGTTCTAATGTGCACTGAAAGCACAAAATATATGAACTAACTTTGAGAATTCAAGCAAAATATTGTAGAATTAATTATACTTTTCTTATTAGTGAACTCAAGCTTTCTAAGACTCTATATTAGTCCATGGATAACTCTATAATATATGGAGGGAAAATACCATCTCTGAAGAGATTCTCTGAATTCTTACATTTTGGGTTCATAGGTAGCCCAGAGGTATTTCTAGTTAATCACACTATTAAGTCTTTGCCTCTGAGACTGTTTTGGATAATATTTCAATAGGGAAAATAATGCAATAGCTATCTTCACAAAGGATTAAAATGATAATCTGATTTTTAAAAATTAATTATCCCCTAAGTTGTAAGAAAGACATTTTGTAGCTTAGAGTACATGGATTTGGAAATCCTAAATTAAATTTATTTCTTCCCAAAGAATATATTTTAGGCTCCAAAGGAAAACTCCTAATGTCAAGAGAAGTAATATCCAATTTCAAGAGAGAAAACTTTTTGTTCAATTAAAAACTTTTTAAAAGTGTTTATTCTTTAGTTCCCTTGAGTCCTTAGTTTTTGGAGAGTATCTTTTCCATCTTCTACTTACCGCTGGGGGGAAAAAAAAATGAAACTTCAATTTAAGTCATTCTGTTTGCCCATTTGCCTTAACTTATAAAAATGCTGTTTGCTTTTACTGGAGTCAAATGCTGCCCACTACATACAGCATGTGTTTTTGGTTGTGGTATCAGTGGAAGCAGCCTTGGGGCTCCACTATTGAGGTTTTGGCCGGTGAAAAAAGGGACACTAAAGTCAGGGCTCTGGTTTGCTTGTGTTTCAACACTCATACATCCATATACACACATACACTCTGGCCAAATAAAGGCCTTCTCCAAATTTTATTTTCTAATAAATAGAGAGAAGAGCACCAAAGATGAAAAAACTCTAACAGTTATCACTCATTGCCTAAACCTCTTAATCTTATAAATCCTTTTTATCAACGAATATACTTCTATTCTTTATTTCTTTTTATAATAGAAAACAGAGAGAAATACTAAATAAACCATTTTACCAATCCAAATTTGAGTCTTTATACATTTAGGGAATTATCAGGGACAAAGTAAAAACTGTAAAAACAAACCTCTCTCTGGCTGTCTTGGCTCTTCTGATCTATACTCAAATGCTTAAAAAGATGGTGTTATAGATAATACATGTTCCCCCATTCACTGTAGTTAAAGAAAATTCCCTTTCAAGAATATAACCAACTAAAAGGTAAATTATCAGCCGCATAAAAATCAGTATCAATAGAGGGCAGAAGTCTCTATGCATGGGAAGAGATTATTTATCATTTACCAAATATCTGTATTATATAGGTGTTCCCTGTTTTAAACAAACTCAATTTATGACAGTGTGAAATAACAAAAGGAGAAATTATTTGAAGTTAAATAAATGATCCTTTCTTAATCTTTCTGTCCTAAATGACTATATTTTCTAAGTATAACTGAAACAGTTTCATTTATATGCAAGCTTTTCAGGAGATACATCTCTTGCCAAAAGAAATGCTTACCTACACTAAACAGGTTACATGATCTGAAATTATCTTGACCACTTTCGCACTCACAAAAAATCTCACAGTCAGAAAAGGCTTTGGCATTTACCTAGTCCAACCTTTCTCAGATACACACAATCATAATACCTCTGAGAAATGGTATCCAATCTTGCTTGAACACCCTATTCTGAGAGTAATATTTAATTTGGGTAATTCAAACAACTATTTCAAAAAAGTAAAAATCAAGAATATTTTAGAAAGTATCTTTAATTTAGTTAAGTGGTATTATTTTTAAAGTGGTTGAAATTTTCTTCCTAGTATTATTTCTCAACCTTGAAGTTGTGTTCTTAGACAAGATTTTAGTGGCTTGTTTGCTTGCTTTTTGTATGTATATACAGAGACCAAAAAAAATTACTGAACATCTAGTATATACAAAGCACAAGGCTAAATTCTCTGGTGGCAATAAAGATTTTGAAAAAAATGTGCTCCTCTCTTCCAAGAGCTCACAACTGAGTGGGGGAACACATAACACGGTCCATAAAAGACAGACTGTGATGAATTGGTGCCTTTATTTTTCTCCTTTCTACTTGTTTGTATGCAGCATAAAGCATATTAAGTTCACTTTAAAAGTCTGGCAACTCTTGCCCTGGATGGTGTGGCTCAGTGGATTGAGTGCTGGCCTGTGAATCGAAAGGGTCACCGGTTCAATTCCCATTCAGAGCACATGCCTGGGTTGCGGGCCAGGTCCCTAGTAGGGGGCGCACAAGAGGCAACCACACATTGGTGTTTCCCTTTTTTCCCCCTTTCTCTAAAAATAAATAAATAAAAATAAAAGCCTAGCAACTCTCATACATAGCACTAAATTAGTTCAATCCTGATGAAAGGCAGTCGGGCAGTATTTACCAACATTACAAATGCATATACCCTTTATGGTAGTTTAAAAATATCTCCACAAATTATTGTCCTGGCTGATATGGCGCGGCTGGTTAAGCATCATCCCACAAACCGAAAGGCTGTCTGTTCGATTCCTGGTCAGGGCACATGCCTAGGATGTGGGTGTGGTCCCCAGTCAGGGTACAAAGTGTTACTACTCACTAATAGAAACTTAAGAACCAAACATGTTCAGATACGTGGGCTCCCTTGTTATCTGATCTACCCAAACCCAGGAACCAAAGAGTTTGTACAGCACATGTGCAGAAGGAACAAACTACAAGGTTATTCACTGTAGCATCATTTATAATCGCAAAAGGTTACAACAACAAAATCGGGGGAGTGCCTATTTAACTACAACCACACATTGAAAACTAAACAGCAAAGAAGAATGTCCTCTGTTCAGTGATATGGAAAGATCTTCAGGATATACTGTTTAATGAAATAAGGAACAAAATATAAAATAGTGTGCATAATAGCATAATATGCTATCGTTTTTTATGAGAGAAAAAAGGATATATGTTCATATTTGCTTTTATTTTGCATAGAAAAACTGTAAAAAAATCACTAGAAAGGAATGAAATTGACCTCTCTGGGGAAAAGGGTTTGGAATTAAGTGGATGGGGGACAGGAAAGAGAGTAAGACTTTTCACCTCTTTTTACTCTGATTTTTGAATCATCTGACTATGTTACCTTTTTAAAATCATGAAGATTTCTAACACTGCTGAAAGCACAAAACAATTACCACTCAAATGAGTTTTCCAACTGGCGCATAAACAACAGAAACAGTGATAAACATAACTAAAAGACTGAAACTTTCATAAGTCGTAATTACTTATACCGTGATTTTTATTAGTCTCTTCTCTGCTTAATTATTCTAATTATGCCTCTTAGAAACGATCATCATACTAATTCTGTGTTGTAATTTATTGTAATTATTATTTGAAATGTTCATTAAATTTCAGAGTTGACAAAGAATTGATTAGTGGAGTCCAAAATGGTCCACAACACAATCGCTGAAAGCTACCAAACAAGATCGCCAGGACTCACGATAGATCTACCAAGTCAGAACTCTGCTGAGGTGGAAGGGTCGAGGGCAGACCTGGGAAACTGCACTTAAAACAGAAGAGAAACAAAACAAAACCTCGTTGGGCTGATACAGAAACATCCCTGTCCTTCTGCACACACATGAGGGAACCAGGACACCAAAAGGCGAAGGAACTTACAAAAAGATCTAAAATAGTGAAAAACAGAACTAGCTCTTGAACCTTCATCTCTGAACCCCAAGTCCAGTCTTCTTTTTCCAACTCCTTCTGGTCTAGCTGACAGTGAAGAACCCAAAAGAAAAAGTATGTATAATAACATTGCATAGAACTTCCAGTCTCCCTTACGTCAAACTTAGATTAAGTTCTTCCTTTCCCTTCAGCCAATGTCCACCTAGGTTTTCCTGTGTCTCTTCTCTTCATTTTTTAGTTGTGGAATACATTTGTCTAATGGCTTATAAAATATTTTATATATTTTATACTTTTCTCAGAGCGGAGGTGGGGAGATAAGCCTGCTGCCCCTGAAACTCTGTCAACAGACTAGCACAGCGGCTGGGAAATTATGTCCTGTGGGCCAAATGCAGCCCACTACCTGTTTTTGTAAGTAAAGTTTTATTGAAACACAGCAAAATCTATTCATTTTCATATTGTCTATGACTGCTCTTTTGCTACAGTGGCAGACTCAAATAGTTGTGACACTATCTGGCCCTTTGCAGAAACAGTTTGCTGATCCTGTTCTAAAATCATGAAAATTGTTCTCTGTTATTAAGAACAGAGATTGTAAATAAGAAACCTCTTTTTAGTTATGTTGTGATGATGATTATCATGATGGTCAGTTCTTCCGGTGGAGGTGATAATTAGCAACAAAGAGCTAAATGACAGGGAGGAGAAACAAAAGATCTGCATAACTAGATAACTATATGGTCAATATTATAGATATATGAAATCTGTAAGCTGGATATCCAGGACCTGACTTTATGATAAACATGAAATACCGGGGAACCATTCTGGCTCTGAATGGCAACTAGGTGAGACACTGCCCTACCTCCCAGCCTACCTGTTCTGCCAGCCAGGCAATGTGCTTGACCTCCTTGCTGCCTCCTGCTGTACTGGTTGCACCAAGCATGGCATTGAGTTCAGCCAACACCTGTGGGAGGAGAGCCATTATGTTGGTGTGGATAGCTACGAACCAGGAGTGTGCGGTAGCTGTATCCTTGCAGCGTAGGATCAACGTGTTCCTGCTATCGGGAGAATGTAGTTCTATCAATCTGTGTGGAAAGAGAAAAAGAAAAATGTGAGCTAGATCAGAAGTCATCAAACCTGTCAGGGTTTAACATACATGAGTGGAAATCTATTTTAATTTTACATTCCAGAATAGAGATACTTTCTCTTAATTTAAGAGGCTCCAATTCCAGAGAAAACCACATACAGAAACATAATCATCAGAAACAATAACTGTTGGGTCTCTTGTTTCAATGTGTTAATGTAATGACCTAAGACGAGGGAACCTGTTGTATGATCTATACACTTTGTCTTAATTTCCATGTCAAGGTAATGGAAAGCATGTTTGTTGACTCTCATAGGCACATTGTAAAGAGGGAATTGAGATTAAAAAATATATATATACTTGGGAAATACCTTATAAAACATCATCATAAGGTGTTGCTAGGTAAATAAAATCTACTGCCAAATATTCCACCGTGTAAAATAAAGAAAAGAGAAAATGGCTGAAGGATATGATTCTTTATGGCAGTTTACAACTGTTCTTTAGCGTCTGGGTAACATTATATGATTAAATCATATATTGAGTCATAGTAGAAAAACAGTCAATTTAAGAGATCTCCAGTTCTTTTTTTTAAAGAAAGTTTTTATTTTTATTCATTTTTAGAGAGAGGGAAAGGGAGGGAGAAAACAGAGGGAGAGAAACATCAATGTGTGCAGCTACACTGATCAGTTATCTCTCACATGCCCCCAATTGGGGACCTGGCCTGCGACCCAGGTATGTGCCTTGACTGGGAATCGAACCAGTAAACTTCCAGTTTGCAGGACAATGCTCAAGCAAGCCACGCCAGTAAGGGCTAAACGCACATTTATTGACTAGGTACTATATACCAGATACTGTGGTAGATACTGGTATTGGAGATACAGCAGTGAAAAAGATAGGGAAAAAAAAACAGTCTCTACCCTCACTGGGTCTAGAGTCTAATGGGGGAAGGAAGAAAATTAACAATTAATTAATACACAATTACAGGTTTTAAAAAGTGCTTCTGTTAAGAACTGTGATGACTGCTATGAAGCTCTGGTCTAAAAAGGCACTCCCAAGATGGCAGTAGCAAAGCAGAACTGCAAAGGAGGCCTCTGTACCTCTGGGGCACATCCCCCCAGCTGGTGTCATGCTCTGACACCGGTCATAAACATATCCACCTGGTGCCTATCTATGCATGCATTCACTTGCCCTCCCACTGGAGTTACCCATATAGCTACTTCGAAGATAAATATCAAGGAGCACAATTACTGGGTCATATGGTAAGACCACATTTAGCTTTATAAGAACTTGCCAAACTGTCTTCCAAAGTAGCCGTACCATTTGGCATTCTCACCAGCAATGAATACGATTCCTGTTGCTCTGATCTTTACCACTTTAATCGGTGTGTAGTGGTATCTGTTTTAATTTGCAATTCTTTAATGACCTACGATGTTGAGCACCATTCATATGCTTATTTGCCACCTGTATTTCTCTTTTGATAAGGTATCTGTTCAGATCTGTTGCCCACTTTTTAATTGGGTTAGTTTCTTATTGTTGAATTTTAAAAACTTTTTTGTTTATTTGGGTACAAGTCCCTTAGTCCTTTATCTCATATATGTTTTACAAAGATTTTCTCCCAGTCTGTGGCTTGTGTTTTCACTTTCTAACAGTGTGTGATGGTTAATTTTGTGTGTCATCCTTGACTGAAGGGTGCCTATATAGCTGTTTCACATTATTTCTGGGTGTGTCTGTGAGGGTGTTTCCAGAAGAGATTAGCATTTGAACCAGTAGACTAAATAAGGATGGCCCTCACCAGTTTGGGTGGGCACCATTCAATCCATTGAGGGCATGAGTAGAAGAGGTGGAGGAAGGGCAAGTTTGTTTTCTGCTTGAGTTGGGACATCCATCTTCTCCTATCCTTGCACATTGGCACTCATGGTTCTTGGACCTTTGAACTCAGACTCAATTACACCACTGGCTTTCCTGTTTCTCCAGCTTGCAGACAGCTGGTTGTGAGACTTCTTGGACTCCCTAATTGCACGGGCGAATTTCTATAGTTAATATTTCTTTCCTTCCTTCCTTCTTTCCTTCTTTCCTTCCTTCTTCCCTCCCTCCCTCCCTCCCTCCCCTCCCCTCCCCTCCCCTCCCCTCCCTCCCTCCCTCCCTCCCTCCCTCCCTCCCTTCCTTCCTTCCTTCTTTCCCTCTGTTCTGTTTCTCTGGAGAACCCTAATACATAGTATCTTTTACAGAGCAGAAGTTTTCAATTTTAATAAAAGTCAGCTTATCAATTTTTTTTCCTTTTTGTGTTGTGATTTTTGTGATGTATTTAAGAAGTCAGCAACAGCCTTTTAAAAAGATTTTTTTTAAGGGATTTTTAAAAAGCATAATCCCACAAGCCCAGGGAGAACAGAAGAGAAACTATAAAATTTTGGAAACTGGCAAGCAGACAGAGGAGTTAAATGACTTATCAGACATAAGAAAGGTGGGGAAAGTCAAATCCCAGCCAATCCATGTTGCAGAATCCCAAAGAGGTTGGGGAATTGGAGGCACTAGTTACCTCTGGAAGTGGGAGTAAAGCACACATTTATTAATAAATAAAGGGGCTGGCTGAACATTTGTGTCAGCATTCCCCATACCCAGAGACCAGTGACTACCCCACCCTCAAACCAGCAAAAGATTCAAACCCACACTCGTTCCACCCGACTGGGAGGAAGAACCAGTGATGTCCTTAATTCAGACTCTATATTGGCCTGACTGCTTGCTACAGAGGCTAATCATTCCCACCTGGTTACTTTGGCACTGTGACAGGCTTAACATCCTTTAAACACATGCTAAAAGTTCAACCATAAAACCATGACAAGAAATTTCTTTCACTCCTCCCCCTGGCCTACTTAGCACTACAGATAGGAATCAGTTCATCCTTCTCTAGGCACAAAATGCTCACCTTTTGAAAAGGCCTTTTCACCTCATACAGTTAGTTACTCACACAGTAGCCTCTCAGACACATCTTCTTCAACACAATCTAAATTCTGAAAATCCTAATGTTGAACACCCTAGATATTAATAACTGGAAGAATGGAAAATAAGTCTATTATTAAATAAAACTAAACCTGATTAACAAGGACCACTAGGCTGGAAAAAGATGAAAACAGGCAGTAGATTAGTCCCCATGCCAAGATTGTCAATTTTTCAGGAAAAGAGACATTTTGCTGTGTTTTTTAAAAGGGATTGTGAAATAAGCATATTAAATTAGAAGAAACAGAAAAGAAACTCCAAATTTCTGATTCTAGGGTCTAGAAGAATCTACCTTTGAAGAGAGAGCCCCCCTACACCTGATAAAGGGGACGAAGTATTTCCTAAAGCCTACTGCTGTTTTAAAAGAAAAATTCATATGAAAACTATTCTAACAAAAAATTTGGAGGCAGTCTGCCAGTAATTGTTTCGGTCCACAGGAGAGAGGCGGAAACAGCTATAGTGCAAAGAGTTCTGGCTTCTAGTCAAACCACTGAGGATTTCCTGAGAAATGCAATTCCATTTTGATCATATAAATCAAATCAATGTTTAGGTACACAGAAGCATAGGATTCTGTAAGTCTAGGCTTCTTATTTCTTCTGTTTAGTAAAGTCTTTGACATAACTTATGTGTTCAATTTAGTAATAACCATATTGTTTTATATGTCATAAGCCAGAATTTACCTTTTACATGGAAAATAGCCAATGTGAGGATGGACAAGACATTGTGAACCAGCTCAAAGGAAACAGATTTACATTTGTGAAAAGCAGTGTTTAAGAACACCTTGTCCTAAACTCCACACTGCCCACAGTGCTATTTGCTAAGGAATGGGCTCATGTTCTCTCACTGAACTTCACCATTATTTATTGAACTTTCACTCATCAGAATGAACTTTTTACAACTATTAGAAACATCTAGTGAGGTCTTGAGAACTCAAGGTGGGGGAAGACAGTAAACTTCCTCCTCCTCCTTATTTATTTGTTCTGGTGGTTAGCACTTTTTTTTTTTGCTTTGGATAGTGTATATTAAACTCAGTAAAAGTACTAAAACTGAAGAAAAGGATGCTTCCCTTTCATGTCAAATAAGTTTTTCATTTAGAAGGGAAAAGATGAACCACAGATTCCTACATGCCCAGCAGAATAGCTAATATTAGAGAGACTGACATCACAAACGTTGGCAAGGATGTCAAGCAACAGAAACTCTCCTGCATTGTTGGTAGGAATGTAAAATGGCACAACCACACTCAGAAAAAGTCTGGCAGTTTTTTAAAAAAACTAAACATATAGCCAACTACCCTTTGATCCAGCAATTCCACTCCTAAGAATTTACTTGAGAGGAATGAAAGTGTATACCCACAAATAGCGTTGTATAAAAATATTAATAAAAACTTTATTACTATTAGCTCCAAACTGGAAATAGCTCATGCGTCCATCAATATGAAAAGGGATAAAGAAAGTGTAATACATGCATACAACACAATACTACTCAGCAATAGAGAAAGAACTATGATACATGCAACAAGATGGATGAATTTTTTTTTTTTTAAGAGAGATAGAGGAAAGGAGGGAGAAAAAGAGGGAGAGAAACATCAATGTGAGAGAGAAATATTGATCTGTTGCCTCTCGTGTGTGCCACGACTGGGGACTGAACCCGCAACCCAGGCAGGTGCCTTGACTAGGAATCCAAGAGGCGACCTTTTGTATCATGGGATGATGCTCAACCAACTGAATCACATCAGTCAAGGCAGATGGACAAATCTTAAAAAACCGTATGTGGAGCAAAGAATTCAATCACAAAAGAATACACATGATATAATTACACTTATATGAAGTTTTAGGATAGTTAGAACTAATCTAATGACAGACATTCTAAACAGTAGTTGCCTTGGGAGATAGGAGAAAGAAATGATGGAGAAGGGTCACAAGAAAGCTTTCCAGGGTGATGATAATGTTCTATATCTTGACAGGGTTGGGTTATATAATTGTATGTATTTGTCAAAACTTATAATTTGCACCCTGGCTGCAAAGTGATTGCCTCAGTTGATAACATCATTCTCTGTACCAAAAGGTTGCAAGTTCCATCCCCAGTCAGTGCAGATACCTAAGTCGCAGGTTCAATCCCCAGTCAGGGAATGTATGGGAAGTAACTGATCATTGTTTCTCTCTCACATTGATATTTCTCTCTCTCCTCCTTTTCTCTCTCTCTAAAATCAAGAAGCATATCCTCAAGGGGGTGAGGATTAAAAAAACCTTAAGATTTGTGCATATTATTGTATGTAAACATTACCCCAAAAGGAAAAAAACTGTAATGGAACACTGAGCTCTAGTTATTTGAATGCATGCTTAAATATTTAGAGAGAAGTATATAATGTCTGCAATTCACTATGAAACGCATTAAAAAAACCAACCCTGGATTGATAGATAGACGAATGGGCTAATCTGTGATAAAACATGTATAGCAAAATATTAATGGTAGAATCTAGGTGATGAGGAAATGAACGTTGGTTATAAAATTCTTTCAACTTTGCCACTACATGTTTGAAGATTTTCACAATAAAATGTTAGGGGAAAAAAATGAAGAATGATGGGAAACCATATGCCTACCTTGGCTTAAAAACACATTCATAAGTATGTTCCAGATTAGGGAACATCTAAACCTATTTCTTACTCAGAGTTTTACAAGAGACTATGTGAAAGATAAAGATTTTCAAATAGAAACACAGTCAGTTATATAAAGCTGCAATTTGATAAGTGTCTTGGTGACATATATCCTCATGAAACTTATTTGTGCTGTTCCTAGATGAACTTTTTTTTTTTTTTTTTTGCATGGCATTAAATGTTGCAGCTATGTCACCTGCCATGACATTTCCTTTGACAGAGTGGAGATAAATTTAAGGATCAAAGAGCTCCAAGTGATTTTAGATGTTATCTTATTTATCCTTGAAGTAGTTCTAAAGAGTATAGTTGAGCAGTTATTATGATGTCCATTTTACAGACAGAAAAAACAAAACAAAACTGGAGGACAGAGAAATTTAGGAACTTTTTTAAGGTCACAAGGACACCAACAGCACCTAGAATATATTGAAAGCTCACTATGCCAATTTTGCAATCATTCTCTTATTTAATCCTTACATAACCTTTCATTTTATACAGGAGGAAACCAAGGCTTCTGGAAAACAAATAGCTTGGCCAAAGTTACAAAGACCGTCATCCTAATTTCTGTCTAATCAGACAACAGTTCTCAACATTTCTTTTCTGCCAAGACAGTATAGATGCTCACATTCCTGTGGGTAGAAGCTATGCATAATTTTCTCAGGTACCTGTAATTCCATTGCTTTTCTTTTTCTCTGGAATGCAAGTAAGAGTGATAAAGGAATAACCTTGACTCTCTTTGAATTTATATTTTACAAAAAGCTAATTATCTGCAAATTTTTTGTATTTCAAGTAAAAGTAGAGACAAATCACTTTGCAGCATTAAGATTGGGACTCCAGCCCTGACTGGCGTGGCTTAGTTGGCTGGGTGTTGTCCCATAAACTGAAAGGTTGCAGGTTTGATTCCCCATCAGGGCACATGCCTAGAATGCAGGTTCAGTCCCTGGTCAGGGAGCATATGAGAGGCAATTGATCAATGTTTCTCTCTCACACCAATGTTTCTCTCCCTCCCTTTCCCTTTCTCTAAAATCAGTAAGATTCTTTCTTTCTAACCCCATTTCACTCCCTAGGAGTACACACTATTAAATTTCTTGCATTTGTCCAAAATTTTTCTATATATGTACTGTACATATATATGTGAAGTAATTTAAACATGGAATGCCAAGAATTATTCTCTCATCTCAGACTGATGTTTTCCTCTGTGTAACTTACGCATATTATAGCATAATAATATGCATAAGTAATATTGCAGCATGTCTTTAAGTTTGCAAAGCTGTAAGTATGACGTTCTGCTCAGGTACAGCTCACCTGTTCTCCAGATCCGGCATGCTTAGGTTTCTAGCAGCAAAGCACATTTTGAGAGGAATGACTTTCCTGTCCTTGGTGCTGTTCTGGTGTTTTGGAGAACCAGAGTCATCACTGCCACTAAAGGTTGGTGACTGGGGAGCTGCACCTTCCCATGGCAGATCTGATACTAATGATGGCTTCTTGATATATGGTGTTACTTCTCGGATGAACTTGACTATGAACAAAAATCAAAGAAAAAGATTAGTATTTTTTGCTTCCTATAAAAAAATGACAACTAAAATACACACATTCATGAAATATCTGGCATGAAGGAAAAACAAAAAAACACTAAGTAAAAGAGCCAGCACACAGACTCTTAGGGTTGGAGGGTCCTTTAAGGGCACATAAGGCCAAATGAAATAGCATTGCTCTATTCTAAAAACTTCTGAGCTTGCATGTATTGTTCGGTCTGCTTAGGACACTCCTTTTTCCCTTCATCCGCCTGGTCAATTCTACTCAAGAGCCACCTCCTCAGCAGCCTTTTCCGCTCTCTCCAGGTTATTACCGTTACACCCCTGGAACAATCTCTTAGAAGAACTGTGGGTTGTAATCCTTTGCTAAAACTTCTGTCCCCCCCGGTTCTTGAGTTCCCCAATGCAGCAGCTATATTTAATTTCGGCATTCAATATCTAGAACAGTGTCTGTTCAGTAAATGTTTCAATAAATGTGTGAAGGAACAAATGAATAATTAAATTCTTGAATTGTCTCAGTAGTTGACCAGCCATGAATGAATCTCCTGGTGTAGATTCAATACCCCCAGAGATGGCACCATTTGCTTTAGATGAGCTGACATTTAGAAACCTTGAGACTTCTACTCATTGGTTTTCTGTCTCTTGAAGCCATATAGAACAATCTCTACACAAGAGAACACCTTCAAACATCTATAGACTGAGATTCTATCTTTCTCTTCTCTGGGCTAAGCTAAGTATCTCTAGTTCAATTGGATTCAATTCAATCAGCAAGATGAGCTACTTACCAAGTGTCAAGCAGTAGGCTAGACACTGTGAAACAAGAGTAAATGAGGCATGGACCCTGCCCTCAAGGAATGACCAGTCTCGTAAGGAAGACAGCTATGTAAACAGGTCATTACAGTTTTGAAAACAAGTACAAACAAGTACAAAAAGAAGTGTATTCAAAATACAGTATTTCCATTAATGGCAGCCCCAAATTAAAATGCAGCTTTTAGTAGATGGGAAACATTTTAAAGTTGAATTTTAGGAATCATATAAAATAATTCTTTTACCTCAGGCACGACTGGCAACTACTGTCATTGGAGGCATAGTGTTCTTGTTTCAAAAATTGGATAAACCAAAGATTATTAAAATCTTAAATAGCACTAAAAATGTAAATAAATAGTTGAATGTAAATGAGTCAGTCACCATTACTTCTGCTAACATCAGTATGTTATATCGTATTCTACCTCCTTTTCAAATTCCAAGTGGTAGGTCATTAGAGTAGATCACAGGGATTGAAAACTAGAAAGATATTATTATTATCAATGCGTATCAGTATAATAGCTAGCATTAACATTTTATAGCATTAGAAGCTTTACAAGTCTATGAAACTTTGCTAACAAATAGATTAGTAAATCTAAAAAATAATCAGCCCTGACACAATTGGTTGGGCATCATCCAGCAAAGCAAAAGGTCACCCATTTGATTCCTGGTCAGGACACATTCTTGGATTGCAGGTTTGGTCCCCAGTCAGGACACATACGAGAGGTGACAGACCAATATTTTTCTCTCACATTGATGTTTCTCTCCCTCTCGTTCTCCCTCCCTTCCCCTCTTTCTAAAAATAAATAACATCTTTAAAAAAAGTAAAAATAGAAAAATAATCAAATGTTTCTAAAAACATAGCTAATAACCATCTTTAAAAAGTTTCTTCTTTGAATAGGTAATACATGAACATAAAACAAAATTCAATGGTATAAAAGATTTTATAATAAAAATTCTAGGTTTCTAGCAACCCAATTCCCAACCCTGAGGGCAACCATTATATATATGGTCTTCTAGAGATATACTGGATATGCTAAGCATATATAAAACAGACACATGCATGAATATATGTATTTATACATTTCACACGGTGGCAGTATGTTCACTGTTCTGCACCTTGTATTTTTCATTCAAAAATATTAACAATGAAGGCTTTTTATAAGGCTGGTATTCTACAGTTCATTCTACAGCATGATGTGGTGGCAAAGAGGCCTCTGGAATCACCCTGACCTGGTTCAGACACTAACTGCGCTTGCTGCCTCAGAGCTATGTGACCTCCCTTGCCTGTTCTGAAGTCCTCATCTATAAAATGGGAGTTAACATTAAAAAAGTAAACATTCCAGGTATATATTGAACATCTGATAAATAGCTGGAGGCTTTCTTTTCATTCCCTAAATTAGAAAGTCAGAGAAGTTAAAATTTTTAAACAGCCATCAATGGAAGTAAACAAGATTTGCTGAAATTAAGCATAATGCTAGAAAATATAATAGATCATAAAAGCACCCTTTTTAAATTACGCCCGCATTTAGATAGAGTTTACATGTGTTCGTATATATGTGTGTGCTTTCTGTGCATAGTTATAATGCATGTATTTCTAGGCGGAGAGAGTTAAAGCTACCTAGTGCCTCAGGTCACCAAGGAGACTTTCTTCATCCTAGAAAAATGAGCAGGGTTGCAGCCAGTGTACCCCCAACTCAGGCATTTCACTACATGTTTTAGCTTTGTACTTTCGAGAAAGGATTAGATCACAAGAACTTTGGGAGAAATTCTGACAGTTTCCAGTCACTGCCATGGCAGGGGCTTGCTTTTTGAACTATTTAAGGCAGTATACCAACTACTGGGCTGCCAACTGGAGGAAATTAAAGACATCGTAAGTGACTAATCTTGAATATGATAGTGGTAAGAAAAGGACCCTTTATGATCTACTCAGAAGTTCATTCAATCCCACAGTAGCATCACAGAACTGATTACTGCACACATTACAATAAAAGACATACATAGATGGCCTACTGCATGGCTTTCAGAGAACGATGAGTTTCACCTGAGTTGATGACAATGGCCATACCCCCATCTAAACGGCCATCCCTAATGGCTGAAGAACTGTGAAGAGACATTTATTTCTAATTCACCCGAGAGCTGGGGAAGATGGCAAGTCAATGGTGCTGTTTTAGTTCTATACTTAGACCTTCTAAGTTGCTGTAGTGCTTCAACCTGGATACTTGGACTAATAAGCAAAGCCTCTATAGCCCCTCATGGCACTCAGGTCAACTCAGAACCCTCAATATACAGGGTCTGGCACAAATAATGCCCCTGTCTTATTACAAAATCTTTTACTAAAAAATCATAAAAAATTCTGAAACAACAATATCACTCTCAAGCACTCCCTATGACATTTTTAGTGAAGTATTCAAAATAAAACTATAAATTATTACACCCTACCAACCACACTCAAGCAGGCGTTACTTCTGCTGGACCCTGTATTTCAGAATTATTTCATTTTTCCTGATACAGATCATCTTCAAAATGTTTAATTAAACACTGATGTTTGCAGTGTATTAGGATTTAGGTGCTGAAGTAAATTTTCTTTCTTCTATGCGCTAATCACTCTTATTGAAAATGAAGGGGGCCCTGGCCAGGTAGCTCAGTTGGTTAGAACATCATCTTGATACACCACGACTGTGGGTTTGATCCCCAGTCAGGGCACATGCAAGAATCAACCAACAAATGTGTAAGTAAGTGGAACAACAAACTGATGTCTCTCTCTCTTTCTCTCTCTCTTTTTCTCTCCCTTCATCTCTCTAAAATAAATAAATAAAAAGAAAAAAAATAAGAGAGGGGCTTTCCCCTACGCTAAGAGCGTCATTGTAGCCCCTTTTCTTTAGAGTAATAAAAACACACATGTAGTAGACACCCACCTGGAAGGACGTCTGGAAGGATTTTCATCAAAATATCAATAATGCTCATATATAGGTGTCTTTTTTTTTCCTTCATGTTGTTCTGTATACTTGAAATTTTTATAAGTCCACACCATTTATACCAAGAAAAAACTTACTTAATAAATGAAGAAAACTTACTCTAAAACCTTGCTCAAACTTTACACATGGAACCACCTTAAAGTGAAATCTGGCTGAGCCTTCAAAAACCATAATGCACTGGATGGGATCAAAGAGCCAACTGATTCTTACTGAGTTCCATACTGTGAAGAATAGGGTTACGGGGCGGGGAGTCTATATTTTTTTAACTAGGTACACTGCTACCCTGGTTTGGAGCATTAGGCAGCAAATGATTTTAAATCGAATCTCACTTAAAAGTTTATCCAAGATACATCACAGTCAGACGTAGGCTATGGCTGTTAACTCAACTCTTCCAGTAAATCAATTACTTTCCCTTATAATCATCAACCTCTCATGTAATCATTATTTTCCTCTTTATCTCTAAAACTTATCTTTTTCTTAATCCCATCTGGTGACTTATTACTGAGTTTAAGTGAAACTAAATGGGTCAGACAATGTGCGGAGAGTGGTGCCATTATTTCCCCTGCTTGTGCAAGCAGGTTTGTTTCTGGGTTATCCTTAGGGAGGAGGAGCTGGCTTTTCATTTTGCTCACAAATTAGTTATGTTGACATCACTGTTAAGGTATTCCCCCAAGAGGTTTTTTCCTTAACTTCATCCCAAGCTCCTCCTCCAAATCAGGAATCTGATAGATGGCCACCAAAAACATTAGGGAGGAATTACTTTCAGTAAAAAGACATTTACACTCTCAACAAGCAGGTGTCTTTCAACTCAAGTCTCTTGCCATTTGAGGTTTGAGTAGACTGCAGTCTAGGTTTTGGCGATGTAAACTTGAATATGTTCGGAGTAACCTTGGTTTCTCTATACCATTCCATTTTAAAGTAACTTTAAACTGCATATTCACCAATTTGTTGAGCTCATGGTATGTGCCAGGAATTGTTTTAGAAACTTAGAATAATACATCTGTGGACAAAAAAATGCAAAAAAAAAAAAAAATGAATGTGATAAGCAAACTATATTCCAAAGAAACAATTTATGTTCACATAAAAGCCTGTACATGAATATTTTTGCAGTTCTATTCGTAAGTGCCCTAGAAACAGGAAACAACCCAAATGTCCTTCAGTGGGTGAATGGATAAACTATAGTATAGCCACAGCACAGAATA